GGAAGCTACCGATGACTGACAGGATGACGAACAATCGAAGAAGAAGGGACGAGTTGGCCCACGAAGAGGTGATAGAAGTGGTCCACAGAAATGCGGCGCCAAAAATTATCAACTGCAAAAATAGCGCAACGAAAATGCAATGATAACGTTTGGAATCGTTGAAGCAGTTTAAAGAAAAACAAATCGATGTTGCCGACCATGGTTTGGATACTGTCAGCATAAAAATGGTCATCAACTTTAATATGCCTTTGTCGACTGATTTTTCATATAAAAGTCTATTTTTCGAGGAAAATTTCAAGAAATGTCGATTTTGGACCAAATTTATGGGCAAGTAGGTGTTCGGTTGTTCACAGGCTCCCATTATTTTTGCAAAAAAATGGCAGTTTGCCTTGATCGAAACCCCGAAAAATGCCTTTTTCGGGTACTTCCCGTACAAAAGTGTCATTTTTCAAGGTTTTTCAGGTCCTCAGTCGGAGGCTTATGGTACGAAATGGGTAGATCAGAATGGGCTCAAAATCAATTTGAAATTTTTTTTGGCTCTTACAGATCTTAATTATCTTGTCAACTTTTTGAGATAATTGGCGAACAAAAAGCTCGGACGCGAACGCGAACGCGGACGCGGACGACGCCATACGAACATCGCTATTTTACACATTTTTCATAGTAAACAACATGTTTTTGGGGGTAGATAGGTCTTGATCGATAGGATTTGATCCCATCTACATTGCCTAGTGTACAGATATGTGCTTTTTCAAGTTTGGCGTGACGTTATAGTGGTCCGAAAGAGGAGATGTCATGAAATTTTGGCTAGTAAAACCAATACTTTACCTAACAAACAAAGTTTGCGGTAAAGTAAAAATGTTAATTTTTAATCTTCACTTGAAATTTTCAAAAATTGACCCAGTCTCTCTCAGTCAATTGAATAATTATTTAACGAAAAAATATTCTAAACTCCTGTTTTCTCACTTGCAGGAATTTTTTTAAATGAAGATCGGGACGAGCGATTGTTTGCAAAGATGGAGCAACAAATAACCAAGCAGGAATTTTCGTTGAAAGGAATGGGCGATCGTGAGTGTACTTGGTAATCGTGACTGGACATTGGACAATCAACTCACTGACCAAACGGAAGGCTAGGGGAATATCACGCAATTTTTATTTGCAAAACTTATTTCTATCCCATTTATTTCATTGAAATCTAATGAAATCTGAGCTATTTCAAATATTTCGCAAAATCTGTATTATTCACTCATATTCACCATGTGCTGACGTCATTACCGCTTCAAAAATGCTGGAAGTGGGTTTTGGTGGATCCTCAGGATCGTTCAGAACTGCTCCCGGTTCTGGAAGTGGATCCTCAGGATGGGCCAGGGCATTGTCAAACCCAGTCTGGTCCATCCTGAAGATCCACCAAAACCCACTTCCAGAATCGGGAGCGGTTCTGAACGATCCTGAGATTCCGCCAAAACCCACTTCCCACTTTTCCCCTAGACGGAAGGTTCCTGAACAGCAAGGGAGGATTTCGTTCCAACGGGCCGGGGCCAGCAAAGTCGCACACAAATGGACGGAATTGATTCAGTTCGGAATAAATGAGAATCCAAATTATCCGTCGATTTCACCAACGCAATGCTAAGAAACTCAGGTAGGCATTATGAATTTCAATTTTTTTTAATGTCCAAAGTGTTTGAATTGGAAGTGACAATTATTCCTTTTTACTTAAAATATCGATTTTCTATATTGATTTTGATCAGATTAAAAATGATAAATAGTTTTAACTATTTTTTGTATAAACATATTCATTCGAAATAGCTGAAATTTCATTCGACTTCGAACCATTTTTGTATTCTTAATGTTCGGTTTTCAATTTTTTCGTTGTTAACATTTGTTCCCTTTTATTTTTTTCTAATTTTTTATTGTTTGAATTTTCATCAAAATTTGAAAAAACATATCGAAATTATAAACATTTGTCCCATTACGTTTCAATTAATTGTTCCAGATACGATGAAAATTCGCACAAAAAGACACCAAAATCAAATGCGAGCAAGGCGAAAATTCTAACTAAGGCATGGCGAGAATAACTTTAAAAAGGGTAAAAACTTCAATACACCATGAAAGGGTAGCAAACCGGGCAAGAAAATTGAATCCGATGCAAATACTAAAATTATAATTTAAAATGCGTAAATTGTTGTTTATCAATCGGTTCATAGTTTTAAGTTTTCTTTCTCCTGTCAAATTCAAACAAGTAAATTTCCGGAAAAAAAACTCGACGATTTTTTGAAAATAACTTTTTTCCATTATTTTGTTTTGATGTTTTGATGTTTTTCATCTTTAAATAAAAAAAATATTATTAAATTTACAATTTGTGTGGATCACAATCTGTATTTGTCTTTCTCCACGGTAGTCACAAATATTTATTTGTTTTATTTTCAATAACCGAAGCAAAATACCAGTGTATCAAAAATTGGAGAAGTCAATTAATTTCGACGAAAAAGTCCTTAATATGTAACCTTATTATTTGTTTTAACAAATGAAACCAATAAAATTTGATATAAATTTTATTCAATAAATAAAAAAAAACCGTTAGCTCATATACGCCCTTTATTATTATGCAATAATATGAAACATTGTTCGGCACTATGACCATCCAATATTTTCTCCAATTCATTCGTGCTATCGTTCAGGAGAAGAAAGAACTGTTTTCCGTTCGTTGTTATTTGAACCAAGATTTGCGATTGGAAAAGCAAATGAAAACTTCTCATTCCAATTTCGATTAAATGACTAGTATTACATAGTACGTGAAACAAAAAACTTGATTGAATCCTCCAAAAACGGGCTAGCGGTCATAAGTTCCCAAATCCATCCATCCATTCGTCCATCTATCCAATCATCCATCCATCCATTCAAATCTATGGATGGATGATTGGATGGATGGACGAATGGATGGATGGACAATGGATGTTGGATGGATCTTTAATGGATATTCAATGGATGTTCAATGGATATTGAGTGGATGGATTTATGGATGGATCTATGTACAAAAATTCGTATAACTGGAATTGAGGGCAAGTCTGGATATATCAACTTATGGATGGATGGATGGATGAATGGATGAATGGATGAATATTAGACAAATTTTTAACATCTCTGCTTGTCTGCCATAAGAACCAACGTATTTGGTGTAATAGTGAATAGAAGTGGCGCCGAAATGATATGAATTTTTGTAGCAACTTTAAGAATTATCAATACTTGTTGTTATTGTCATAAATTTCACAACAACAAAAAGTATTGATAGTTCTTTAAAATGCCGTAAATTGTAAATATATGTGTTTCGGCGCCACTTCTATTTTGTGCCGCTGATAAGAATAGGGTGATCAAATAGAGGCTATTAAAAATTAACTTAAATTGAACGATGCGAGCGCCCCCAATTTCAAAGGGCACATCAATGTAATTTTCAATTTCAAATTGGAACTAAACAGCGCGGCAATTCAAAATGTGACGAAATGTACTGTCACCAGCCGCCCTATGAGGGTGATTTTGTGTTTTAAATATTAAGTGATGGAAACATTTCTGACAATTAGGCTTAAATAGAATAACCTATGGATAGCAGAATCGCATGGGCCGAATGGAAAACTCGCTAACTCAAAAAAAATCGGGTAGATGACTTTTTCCCCCCGATTTTGACCTTACTTTTTTGGATGTTTTTTCTTCGTTTTTTTTTTTTCATTCAAAGGCTCTCGGAAATTTGTGCCATTTTTGACATTCCAATGCATTTAAGTCAGTAGGACGTCAATGCTGCTAATGACATTGGCGTTTTAGGCAAAAGCAACATAGCCGATTTCGGAGAGCCTTTGTCAATGCACGGGAAAGTATTTTTTTTCTTCACTCAAACATGTTTTGCCCAATTTTGAGTGAATATAAATATAACGATAGCTTTGGCGCTGATACGCGTAAGTGATTTCCCTACAATATGAACAAAACACACTTTAGCGGTATTTTTGGCTCTTAATATTTATGCTAAAATTTTCGTATTTGGCCAGGTGGTGTAAGTCTATGATCTCTCGGACCTGATAACCTGGATTTTCGAAATTGAGCCCAATATTTTCGAAATTCGAATTTATTTTCAAAAAAATTCATTAACCGTTTTAGAATTCATTTTCCGAAAAGTTTATTTTCGAAATTCTAAATCATTTTCGAAAATATATTTTTTTGACCTGAAACTCCTTTTCGAACGATTATATTTTCGAAAATCAACATTTCGAATTTTTTTCGATCTATGTTCGAAATTCTACTGAACTTAGAAGCTTTAGATAATGGTTTAAATTGTAGATGATTTTAATTGTAGATTGTCAAAGATGTTAGCACTTAAATTTGGATTGAGGATTGCACCATATTTTTTCCACCCCCGTTTTTCAAGATGATCTGTGATTTTGTCTATCTTTGACAAGAGAACTCTTTAGAGAAAAAAAACTAAAGAACACCCAAAACCGAGTTTACTTCGAACAACATCTACCGCTAACAGCAATTCGTACAGAAACAAGTCAGTGTAACAGTGTGGGGGAGCGAGACAAAAGCTGACAGCAAAGAATTTGGTTGTGTCAGTTTACATGTTCTTTGATTGGATTGCATTGTTATGCGCCAGAGTACCCTCTTTATTTTGACATTGGTTCTTCTGTCTAATTCAAGCCATTGCCACAATAGGATGACATTTGTTTAAACTAACTTTTGCTGGAAAAATTATTTTTGTTTTGTCTAATGTTGATGCTACGTGCGCGAATTACAAAAAGTTCAAATACATTTACATCCAAAAAGTGATTCAGAGTTTATTGTATGCTTTTTCGGATCGTCATCGAAGTACATAAAGTAGGAGGAAATTCACAACACATGGACAACTATTATAACTACGACGTATTTTGTTCTTGGGCTATACCTTTCCTTCCTTCCTTTTCTTCTAAAGTATTGTTCAGTCACCACAAATCGAACCATAAAAACAAAACAATCAAAAGTAATGAAAGATAAAAACTTTATTTCCTAACCATGACATTTATTGCCAATAAAATTAGTTTTTTTTCCCACAATAATCTCATCAAATGCAATGCAAACATAAACACTCTCAACGAAATCACAAAATAATTGTTCATCAAAAACTAATTTACGATTATTTGTGTGGTGTGATAATACAGAACTTTGATATTGAAGAAACACAAGTAATGATTAAATGACACACTATGTTTTTTCTGATAAAATGTAATTTCAACCCAAGCAATGGATATCACGTGACTTTGTTGACTTTGAGCCAAGTGCCGTTTTCTGGTGATAGAACGAGTTTTTTGGGCGAATATTTGATTGGAATTTGTGTTCGCGAGCAAGTAGAAAATTCAAAGTTTTGCAGCAAAATCGCGAGACCTATGCGGGCCTGCAACATTCCAAATCGTATACCGACACCTACAGTTTAAAAAAAAATTATTAATAATTATCATTTACAATAAAGATCTATGGTATCAATTTTTTTTTCTAACGGTTCTGCTGCTTACAGTTTCTCGGGCCATCTCCAAAGGGAATGAAACAGCATGATTGGCGCTGCTTAACCTGTTCAGGTGAAAACCGTGTCGGATCGAATTCCTCAGGGTTTTCATAGTAGTCTGGATCATGATGAATCGCATAAACGGGAACTAACACAAACATTCCTTCGGGGATTGTATAGTCTGAATTTGGAACTTTGTAGTTTTTAGTAGCGATTCGCGCCAAATTCGATGCTGGCGGATGCTTCCGTAGTGCCTCTGTAAAAAAAGGAAACGAGCGAGAAAAAAAATTATATGGGAAATTTTAAAAGCCTAAGTTCGAGCCTAATTTTAGAAAGAACTTTAGTTGAATATCAGAGCGGTTTCGAGCAAATTTCAGAAATTTTTTCAAAATTTAAATTTATCTCAAACTTTGTCGAACAAAATAGTTTGGAGGCAATTTTGCCTTGATTGAAACTGTTAGCGATTGAAATCTCGCCATTGATTACTCCAAAATTCCATAGGACGAATGGTTGTATCACTTATCACTAGAAAATCGGTTGGAGATTGTCTAAATCGTTGAAAGTTACATTTAAGGCTCATTTTTACTGAGAACTAAACCCCCCTCACCCGTCCATCCATGGATTATTTTAATGGTCCGTCACAACCTACCGTTAATAATTTGATCGACGTAAACCATGTCGTTGACAGCTTCATAGGTAAGTTGCCCGTTGTGTTTTTCTAAAACGGCAAAAATCTCTCGCCTAGCCTCGTCTTGAATGTGTTTATTTTTCTCCAATGCCAATTCATAAAGGCAATAAGTCAGCGTAGTGGACGAAGTCTCGAAACCGGCCAAAAAGAAGACAAATGCTTGTGCCGCGATTTCGTTGATCGTCAATCGGTCCTCTTCCTTTTTGGCATTTTTCAAATCAATCAAAAGGCTCATAAAATCGTTGCGTTGCACATTGTTATTTTCACGAAAAGCGACCGTCTCAGCGACAATCTTCAAAAAAAAGTCAGTGACATCTGTGTGATGGATTCGAATGCGTAGCAGCTTCGCTAAACTCTTACCTTAAATTTGTTAATGAAATAAAGTTTTGTATTTAATTTTATTCTTTCATTCGTAGTGGTGCTTCATTGTTTCAACTATTGCTTTATTGCAATAAAGCAATGCAAGAATTTTCTTACACGTGATAATCAGCATGCGTTCAAAAGCGCCGAGTTTCGGTTGGTCGAACACTTTTTTGCCCATTTGACGGAATTTCGCATTGGGATCTTTGAGACTATTACATTCAATACCAAATGCACACGTGCCAATGACATCGGTTGTAAATCGTCCCAGCCATTCATTGACCTCAATTTCGCAATCAACTTGAATCGTTTTATTGAGACATTCAACAAATTCATTTGCCACCGACACAATTGTACCGAACATGAATTTCATTTTCCCAGATCTTTTGGATGAAAAAAAAAAAACATCAGAAAAAATTACCAATAAATATATTACATGCAAGTCATATTTACGTGAATGTTGGCGTTAACTTTGATCGTAACGGTCGCCATTTCTCATAGTCCACATTGAACAAGTGCGCTGATAACGGATCGTGTTTTTCATTGTAGAATGTGCCGCGATTTTGAAAATATTGAAAATCTTTGATAAAAATATGCCGGATTAAATCTAAGTCATTGACCAATAGCACTGGACTCAAAAAGAAATAGATGCCAAGCATTGGAGCATCTTGTTTACGTTCACGATAGAATGTGGCCAATCGCTGTGATAAATGATCTTTACGTTGAATCACTTGTAAATTTCCAAACGGAAATTTTGGCACAACAAACGGCACACCATTCCGTTTCCAATAATTAAACTTTCGCTTCACATAGAAAAATGCCAAACATATTAATGCAGTCAACCAAAAAATTGAACATGAAAAATCCATTGTTGTTTATTTGTTTGTTTCACTTGCTATTTTATCTGTTCACCTTCAATATCACACTATTCTTATTTTTATTTTCATTCGATTTGGTTATTTATAAATAGAACTGTTCGCAAACACAATCACTGTTACACTGTGCCTACAACACAACAAACGCTCAGCTGAGAGTGCCAGTTGTTCATGTTGAAATGAAATTCAGCAGATCATTGCGTGTTACTAAACAACAAATCACGCTGTGCGTCTGTGTGCGCTAATCTGAATCAAACGCAGTATCACATACATGCACACTTTGACCTCATAAATACAGCTGCTAACACACACATAATTGTCAAATATACGAGGCGTAGATAAACACACAAAGAAACAAATTCAAAACCAGTTTAGCTTTGAAATCATTCTAAATTATCTTGTTATGTTTTTTGCTCTTCTTCTTCAAACTGCACAATGCACACATACACGCGATTCGGAATGATTGACAAAAACATGAACACACTTCGCATACTAATATCTTATCATTGCGATCGTTAACACACGCTCAGAATGCTCGGTTAAAAAAAAGCCGATTCAATTTTTTTCTACTCTATTCGTACCAATCACCCATGACTATTACGTTGTTACTTTTCAACGGTGAGGATTTAGACGAGCAAAATGAGCAATGGTTCACGTTAATTATATTGCAGCGTCACGGTTGTAAACGGATATCATTATATTCTTCATCTCTTTTTTATATATTACCGCTTTTTCGTCTCATCTATACGCTTGCAACGATTATATCTGTAAGAAAAATGTATAGTTATTTCTATTCGTTGGCACTTGGCTTGGGTCACTGTTTAATACTAGAGCCATACACTGATATCACACTCAATTCAAGTAACTTACTCGAGCATGTACTCGAGTTATATACGTACACAGTGTGGCTGCACAATCTTTGGTAGAATGACTTATATTATTGGTATAATGACTCTATATGCACACTTATGTAATGACTTTTGTATATGAATCCATATTTTATGATTTCAATTCTTTTTATTCATATCAACGAATACGTTATAAATTTACTTCCAGCGATTAAGTTCCCATCTGAAATATAAACACAAATTTGCCCGTTCTCTTAATAATTCATTTTTAATCCATTATGACTGATAATCTCGATAAATAAACCATATTCACTCCGTTTAGTTTTTATCTGAAATGTCCACACGTCGCATATAGTACGTAATTTACTAATAAAGTGTGCCATGTTTTTGTTGTTTTCATTAAAACCTACAGTTTGGACTTGTGAACAATGACATGAATTTTTTCATTTGATAATTCACTGTTTGATCTTAAACTATTCCGCTATGACTTCTGCAATAACGTTTTAGAGACGTTTCAGATTACCATTTAGGCAAATTTAAAGTATGATAAAAAAGACATTTGTTTATTATTTTGAAGAAGAATAATTTCTTTGCGTAAATGGATATATCGGCTTTCAAATACACCCATATGAGATTGGAGAGGTGACGAGCGTAAGTATTCAAAGGATCCATCCAAACCATTGCTTTATTTGAGGCAACACATTTCATAGCTATCAGATATCTTGTAGTTAGCTACAGATAGCCTATAGAGAGCAATATATAATCGCCTGTACTTCGAACCGTGCTTCGGAACACATTGCTTGAGAAGAGATTTTTATTCGTCAGTGTGTTTTCTCTATTTTTGTCTTTTGCACTAATTGTACGGTTGTACACAACAATGTGCGAGAATACAAAATTTTAGAATTTTTTTATTTAGAGCTTCATTTTGGACAAATTTTTGACAATTTTAAACAATGTATTTGATTAGACTTATTCGCATTTTCTGGGTAAACCATAGGGAATCCCAAATTATGAATATGTTTTCGTTATCTTTTCGTTTGGCAAGTCAAAATTAAGCAAGTCAATCAAAATTGGATTTATGTTTATGCGATAAATCGTGTAATTTGAAATAAAACAATGATTTGGTCAATACTATTACCCGATGTTCGAATCTGTCAAATATATGCGTCAACTTTGAAACAATAAAAATTACAGGATATTTTAACGTCTTTACACGATTTGTCGCATAAATCCTATGTTGATTGATCTTGCTGTGTTGTTTTTATAAAAACAAATATACTTTTTTTAGTGTGTTAAAGTACTCATGGTTCTGGGAAAAATTAATGCACTAGAGTGTTAACTAAGCAAAGCAGCATCAGATTCTCTATTGATGGCACCATCCAGATCTCTCCCATACATTTCCATTCCACAATGTACCAAACTAAAACGAAACGTGTGTATTTTATTGTTATAATCAGTCACACAGTGTACCTGCACTGGTCTAAGAGGTCATAACAAATTGGTGACCGGTCATATTTTCCTCGGTCATAACTTCCCCCATACAAAGTGAATGGAGAATTTATGGCCGAAATATGGGGGAAAATAATTCCATTTGAGATTTGGACATAACTTCCCCATCGAAAAAAATTTGGTTTGAGAAAATATGTCCAAAAATAAAAAGAAATTATATCCAAATGCGTATGGACATAATACGACCATCTAGCCCTTTGAAATAAAAATCCTCGTTATTTTTATTTAAAATCTATCGATTTCAAGTAATTTTTATGATACACTTCGGTAGAGAACGAACCGACCGGAATTTTGGAAATCGGAAAATTGATTTGAATTCAATTTAACTACAATTTATTGAAACACTGTTTTATTTAACCCTCTAATGCATTAATTTTTCCCAGTACTCCCAGTACTGGTACTTGGTTGATTTTTGGCCATAGATATTTAAAAAAATATTCATAATCCTAGATTCCTCATGGTTCAGTCAGGAAAGGCGAATGACATAAATCAGAGAACAATCAAATGCATTGTTTAAAAGTGTCAAAAATGTGTCTAATTTGAAGTTCGAATAATTTATTTTGTCAAATTTTTGTTTTTGCACACATTTTTGTTTATAACTTAAGAATCAAACTATATAGACAAATATTGCCAAAGACAAAAATAAAGAGAAAACATTGACGAATAAAAAGTTCTTTTGAAGCAATGTAATCCGATGTACGGTTTACATTCTACAGGCATTCAAATATTGCCCGTCTAGAGGCGGTTGTATGCATTAGAGGGTTAAAACTAGCCGTCCAGTATTCTTCTGTGTATTTAGCGCAGTCAATGACAGATAGCTGAAGATATATGCTGAGCATAGAAACTCAGTAAGCTGAGATTGGGACATTTTGACTTTATGACGTGTAGTCCATACAAATTTATGATGGCACGCATACAATTTCTTGCATTTCATCATGCATTTATATGGACTACACGTCATAAAGTCAAAATTTCCCAATCTCAGCTTACTGAGTTTCTATGTTCAGCATATATCCTCAGCTATCTGTCATTGACTGATTTAACACCATCACTTTCAGGCGCTTCGCGCGCCTCGACTTTTGGACAAATATTTTCAATATTTTTTTGATGGTTAAATGGTTCTTTCGTACCAAAATGGGGAAATGATTTATCAAAATGGGGAAATGATTTACCGACCAAATTTTAGTCTAAAAATAGAATAGAAAGCATTCTATTACGAAATTTTTCAGAAAATCTAAGAAAAATGTGTTGCATTTTAATAAATTTCTCAAACTTCCCTAACAACAATTTACGTTAGAAGATTTGGTTTGAAAATAATCAAAAAATCAATTTTTTATTAATTTGATTATACATTATTTAATTTAATCTCTATTGAACTCTCGCTTCGTTTCAAATTTAAATATTTACAGTTAGCTCTTAAGTTTTGTACACTTTGAAAAGTTCATTTTTGAATTCAATCATCTTGGTTTTTTGCAGTTGCTTTGCTGGAAGTGTCTATTAAACATTTTGATTTCTATTTTTATTTTTACACGACTTCTCGTATGGGAAACCAAAGAAACAGACCACTCCTACTATAGGAAAGAATTAAGCAAAAAGAGAAGGCAATATTTGTAAAAGGGAAAAGGGAAAGAGGAAGATAAGCTCTTTGTGGCGGAAGTTCAGGCATGTCCCTATTTGCCATAAACACTCTGTTTATGGCACATAAGGGCATGCCTGAGATTCTACTACCACCCACAAAAATTATAAGTTATAATGGTTTGTATGAATGGTATAGTATTTGTGAAAGGGTCATTTTTTAATTCAATCGACTTAGTTTTATTCGTTTGCAACTAGATGCTGTTGAATGTATGTAAAAAAACAATATATGAATAACCCATATTCCAATTAAAGAAAAATATTTTCAATTTAGATTAAACAATCTAACGTCTGTGAATTCATAATAATAAGAAAAAACCAAATGTTAATGTTTGGTGTTCACGTTTATTGTGAAAAAATACGTCATAATATAGAACTGATTGATTTAAATGAGTAAATAAAAGTTGAAAAGAAGATAATTATGAAATATGTTTCGTATAATATGTTATCAAATCTGGTTGGATTTCTTTGTGAATACAAAATGAATGAATCTTTTCCACATGGAAATATCGTTTGACTCCTTTCGATTGTTACTTTTTCGCACGTCCATGTCGTGAGTAAAAGTATTGTAATCACTCTAAAACCTAGGTACCCCGAAAAACCATTTTTCTATCCATTTTCTACACCAAAAAGCACGATACATTGGTTATTTTGCTATGTTAATGTGGGTGTGTCGTACCCTGTAGGCCTTACGCAAAAATTTGTTAGCACGATTGCTCAAATACCAGAATAGGAAACGAAATTCTGCAAGTACCAAACGTTTGTGCTTCGTTAGACTTGGAAACCATTAAATTTCCAGCCACCCCAGATGTACCCTAGAATACCTAGCCTATGAAAAACCTTCAAAGAATCGAACTTTTGTTCGAGAGGTACCCAAAATAGGCTACCCAGGTGGATTTTATCACTCCCACTCAGTTTATTTCATCAAAATAATAGGGGCGCAGGAACAACCTAGAACCCGCTAACCCACCTTTTTTTCGTATCCAATCGGTATTGAATAGTGATTCTGATAGCGAATGTGATTAAAAATTGTGAATTGATGCGCCTCTGAAGTCTCATTTATTCTCAACAATGTGGATTTTCCCGAGTTGGAAGAGGATGGATTTTACTACGAAATCGGAGACTTGTGTGAAACTACAAAGAATACAGATCTAGAATCAATCACAAATCAAATTGTTGGAACAGAATTCTTAAATGATTTGACAATCGATATGTTCATTATAAAGTACAAGTAAACCCCGCGTGCCATCCTCCACTTGTATTAGTTTTACATTGAAGGGCGCTGCACGCACCTTAACATTCATAATATAAATTTAATGCGAGTGGAGGCGCCCTATGAAAAATGGCATAGATTGCTCGTGCTACGGTTAACTCGTACTTTGGTGAACGCAAACAGAACCATACCATTCAATATGCATCCCGGAATCACAATGTGTATGGAATGCATAAAATAAAGCGCCATCTGTGCCATGATTCTTTGGTTCGTATAAGTCCAATGTATTCAATTTGATCGCTCGAAAAACGTTCAAACGTTCAACATAATCATCCCATATAGTATTGCATAGTTCATTTTCCATAGACTTGGTGGCGCTTATATTGTGACAAACGTCAAAGCATAGGATTGTATACATTACATATTGTGATTCCGTGCATCCAGTCTGCTATGGACAAAAACAAGAGCGATACAAACGACTTCTAGCCGAACGAGACGATCTGCAAATAACATATCAGCGACCGGGCCAGCTTTCTTGGCCATTACACCACAGTTCACTATACAGTCTACACGGGGAGGGCAATCATGGCCTGTACCCCGGAGCACAGCATCATTTCATCGAACCGGCAACATTGCAACCAGATGGATGTTCCTGTGGCATTTTCTCGATTGCATACGCCACATCCATCATTTTGGGACACAAC